GGCCTAATCTGTCCGTCTAGTAATTGATGTAGATGAAGTTATTGAATTCGTAGAAGAGACCTAGCCTCTCCGCTCGACCTCCGACAACCATAAAATTGCCAAGTTTAAACCAGGCCTAGTCATCAAATTCTAAAACCGAAGATGTAATGGAGACTGCGCGCTAACCAGCTATCGAGACCAGACGGCTCCCACAACGGTCAGCTGCGAACCATACAGCGTGGTTCAAGGCAAACTTGCCTTGTAACTTTAAGTCACACTTTTACATTCATAAATTTACCCCGGAATGTCAATATCCATTCAACGACCTCGTATGAACAACAAGGAACTTAATTTAAACTTCTGTATATTTGTTAGGTTCAGTCAGCAATTTAAAAAAATAGTTTGGAACCGCTAGATGGCGCTGGGGTGAAGAAATTTAAAAAAAATTGTAGTACGATTTGGTCTGTATTCAGAGTACGTATTGCTTTCGTGATCAAAATCGCCGTTTAAGCCAATCGAACTGGTTAAGAACGTACACTAACTCTGCAAATAGGGCGATACTGATAGGTGTGTATAGCAACTTCTCCAGTAAAAAATTTGCAGCGACAGCGTTAACGCAAAATAGAGTGTAAAAGTGAGAAGAAGAGAAAACTAGCACCCAAAGTTTTTGGATACAAAACTAGTAAAAATTTGCAAGTGAACAGTTGTTGCACTGCTTTGACATTCTGCTGTAAACATTTTAGTTTTTATAAATTAGTTTTAAACTCTTTGCTTAACATAGGACAGTACATCATTAATATTTTGATTTCCACTCATTTTACTTTTGTTTATGTTTAACCAATTCAACAAATGGCAGGTGTTGACATTTATTCTTGGTCTTCTGTTAGCTAATTTCTGCTAGTAAAAATTTCACTAGCAAAAATTTGCAGCTCTCCCGTGTTATAAAGCTCTCGATTCAGTGCTCTCTTGCAGATTTATTGGCTTGTTAGTATACACACCTAATATTGTACGAATGACCAACTCGGCAAAACCTTTGAACGTGTTCTGAATTGACTTAGTTTTGGGCACTTCGAAGCAGTAATTTTTTTTTTTTATGAGAACAAAGTGTTATTGAACTTTATACCACCATTTGTTTTTAGAGAAAACGTCTAGACGGTAGTAGTTATACATAGCAAATTTTTCGGATTAAAGCTTAGATTTTTTAGTATTTTAATTTTCATTTTACAGCGCTAAATTACCACACAAGCGGTTTGACAAACCTACACTTTTAATTTCGCCATACACCATGCAAGCATGACTCGTCCAAACAGATTCTGTTTAGCTCTCTTCCGGCTCACAATGTAAAAAGTTTGGTATTCTTTCAGCTTTATCTCTCCTACGACCTCTCTCGTTGAAAATCTTGTAAAAATTGAGGCAATTCTGCCATCCATCACACAAATGGCGGCCAGAAAATCTAAACATTTTGGTTCGGTTTTTCAAAACATCAAACCGCCCCATGCACTACACAAGTACGTGCATCTAGAAATACAAATAATCGCTTACCACGTCTACCAAAATATCTGATGAAAACAAATTACGGCTTACTAAAAAAACACCTGTGCAAATCCGTTCACGGTTAAAATTTTCCTACGGTTCACAAAGCGGTATACGTTATTTAGATAAGTATGTACACATATGCAATATAGATTAATACATATGTACGTTTATATAGTAGACAAATTTTCACGTTTTGTGGGAAGCAGTGAAATTAATTATGTCTGCATGCTAAGGTTTTGCACCATTTTACATCTTTGAGGTGACTTGTGAGAAGAGTTTTTTACGTCAATAGAATATCAAAAATTTGTCATACTAAAAGTTTATTTACTTTTGGAACATTATATTAAAATGCGATTAGGCTTTAACTAGTTATAGTGATCATATCAGCATTTTTTATGCATTTAATTTTTAATAAATAATTGCTTTTATAATGCCGCCGCTGTCGTGTAGTGGTAAGCAGTGCGCGCTTTCACTCATCAGCACCAAGGTTCAAGCCCTGGTCAAAGAAACATCGCAAAAAATATAGAAAAAGGTTTTTTCTTAACAGGGGTCATCCCTCGGGAGGCAATGGCGAACCTCCAAGTGTATTTCTGCCATGAAAAAGAGCTTCTCATAAAAATACAATCGCCGTTCGGAGTCGGCGTAAAACTGTAGGTCCCTCCGCTTTGTGTGACTACATCAAGGCGCACGCCACAAGTCGGAGGAGAAGCTCGGCCAAACACTAACATATGTGTAAGCGCCAATCTATTATTATTACTAATTATTTATTACTAATTGCTTTTATAATAGTTTCAAGTAGTTAAATTGTTAATTATCTCTCTTTGTAAGTAATCAAACCTTGAATTTTTGATTTTTATTAAAAACAATATATATTTATATATTTTTAGTATAAGCTCCAAGTGGGAAGATGACAAGAAGCTGCTTTTACCAATAACCAAAATCCCTGACTAAAAAATTTCAATAATTTGAAAGTGGTTATTTTGAATCCCGTTCCCATAACCATTATGGATCCAACCGTGAGGATTGGAATTTCGCCGTTCCTGACTCTTCTATGGGAAATTATAAGTGTAGCCAAAGTCAGTCTCGGTAAGCTAAAAGTCAAGGCCTCTCTGCTCAAAACTAATGCTATCTGATCATAAGCGCATACAAGCGCAGGAATCGAGGAAAATGAACATTAAAACTCTTTTTTTATATTTTTTTTATTACTTTTAAAAGTTGAGCCAATCTTGTTTTTATAGAACTTTTTATTAAACAAGTAACTTTTAAGCAAAAAACACAACCGACTTTAATTCTCGTATACAAATTTAGAAATACCGTTAGTCTTATCACGATCCAAGGATCGGAACTAAACCAAATTTCGGGACGACCCGTGAGGTACCATCTTTCCGAGATAAAAAAGGAATCATTGAAATCGATTCACGTGGTCCAAAGTTATGCGGTAGTATACATAAAAAAAGAAAATTCCGAGGAATTGATAACCTCCCCCTTTTTTGAAGTCGCTTGAAAATGTTTGAGTTCTTTGTTAATTTTATGTAAATACAGGACAATTTATGAAGCTTTAAAAAGTTTATTTATTTATTATATTGTACACAAAAGTGGCATAAATGTACTTTGAATAGTATATTATCTGAAGTGAATTTTCAAATATATTCCTGGGTGCGCCCCTGTATGTGATTTATTTATTTATTTATTACCCAATGAATAAAAAATTCTATCTGACTAGGAAGGCTTAAAACGAACCATCTCCGAACTCGATTAAGGAATTTCACTTCAAAAATTTTATCACAGAATTAGCCTTTATTACGTTAAAATTTGTTCGACTGGAAAGGGTTCTTTCTATATACGCTTCTGTTTATTTTGAGACATTACTTTAGTAAATTCAAGTTTATATATATGCATATATTTGCACATAAACTGTTTGTGGCAGAACATGCTAATGCACTTAGTTGTACAACAAAGTGAACAATGTCTGAATAAACTTCAGAGTAGTTGTCAATGCGCCAGTTGGCACTTGCATTTAAAAGTCGATTTTCTGTCACTCTACCGCCAAGTTAACTAGGACATATAAATGCAAGTACTACCAACATACAGACCATTACGTCAACGAACCAGCAAAGCATGTCGGATGTCCCAAAGGAAAAGTGAATGGAAATGGAAGCAAATTAGTAAAAATTTCATAGGTAAGCGGAATAAAAAATACTTTAACTAAGTAACTATGCTGGGACAAAAAAAAAAGTGTGCTACCCTAGCTGACTGCATAGAATAGTTGTTACCGTTTCTTTCGTTTAATTTGTTTCCTGAAAACAGGGAATTAACTGAGATTCCTTAACTTTGTCACACGCTTGATTAAAATAAGGATAGACATTTTTAATGTAGTGGTGGTTCCACAAACCAATTTAACAATCTGAAAATGAAATACGACAAATGAAAGCTAATAAAATTTTCCATAAACCGTGTATACATCACTTTCCGATAGGACTGATAGTTTCTGAAAAAATAATTAATTTTTATTAAAAAAAATTATAAAAAATTAAACTTTAACAGGAGAAAGATTTAAAAAATAACAGGTTCTGTGTAAAATTTTTGCATTTGTGCTAAATCCTGTTCTGTTACAAAAAAATCAAGTTACTAATGAAGAAAATCTATGCATAAATGAGCACGAAATAATGTTACTCATACGCCATGTACACCTAAGGTGCACGCTTTTATGCTATATTTCATACAAAAAAATCTTTGCGCATTTCCATTTAACCACTTATTACTTCTTTATTTATCCATCAATTTTCTTAATTTAATACTTGACTTTTTTAACAGAACTGGCTTTAGCAAAAGTGCAAAAATTTTACACAGAACTTATTATTTTTTAAATCTTTCTGCTGTTAAAGTTTGATTTTTTTCATATTTTCATAAAAAAAAAACAAAAAATCTGGAACGATTAATTAATTTATCAGAAACTATTAGATCTATCGAAAAGTGATGTATGTCTATGTACAATTTGGTTAGCTTTCGTCCTCCGTATTTCATATTAAGATCGTTAAATTGGTTCGTAAGATATGCGTGATTAGGTGAAGCCACTTTTTGTTTTACGTTGAATAACGATAAATTTAAAATATCTCGAAGACGTATCCATAGAATAAAAATTGAAGTTCATTTTCGGAATCAGCGAGCAATTCTATATAGAAATTGGAAAGTGGCATCCATTGGACATTTTTGCTGTAAACCAGTGTTATTATTAAAAATTTAGGGGCAATTTTCTCATTTTCCAAAAAAAATTTAGTTGAAATCAACCACAAGAAATATATATCGAGCCCTAACCGCCAAAATAACGTAAGCGACATTTTTTTCAAAATTTTCTTTTTGATGCAGAAATGCATCTAGATGCTATAGGAATAATATTTCTGCATAGAAAAAAACAATTTTTTTTAAAATTTCGCTTACGTTATTTTGGGGGTTAAGGCTCGATATATTTACAAAAATGTACTCACATGACAGAGTCCTTTTCGGAGCTTCTATTGGTATGCAGACGTAGAATAGTATTCAGCTCTTTCATCACATCGCTGCCTTTACGCTCCAGCTCCGAAAATAATTCAGTATCTCCTATTTTATGTAGATCCGAACCACTGCGACTCTTTGCAGAACTAGATCTAAGACAAAACAAAACTTAAAATATTTACATACTCACATACATATGTATGTACATGTTTTTTTCGTACCCAATATGGACAAAGCAAACCTTTTTCAAACTTTTTTCGATTCTTTGAGAAATTCTTGATTCTCAAATGGAGATCCAATATTTTTCTCCAAAATTTTTCCTAAGATTTTTCCCAAGATTTGACTGAAAGTTGAATAAAGTTTGAATTCCAAGCTTCAAGTGGAGAATTTAGATTATTTTCTATAAAAAAAAATGTGCCGTTTTGTTGAGAATGGGTTGGTTCTCCAATTGAGGTACACTTGAAAATCAACATTTGACCTTGGAATTTTTATAAGATCTCCACTTGATCTCCAACCCAAATGTTTACTGGGTAACTCCAAATACATATGTACATATGTAAATTTTTCTAATTGCTAAATGTCACCTACCGATCGATTGAGTCCACGCTGCTATGTATATCAAAATCCATCATAAGATCATCGGAACAAATGGATTCACATGGCGAGAGCGTATCGAGCGAATCGGCGCGCTCCATTACTGCCTTTCGCAGCGACAGTGGCGTGCGTAAGCTCAACTCGATCGCTTGTTGGAGAGCACTGCGTGCCTTGGATTGACTTTTCAGCGAACGCATTGAACCGGTATTTTCCATGAGTGTTGGTGTATCCGTCTTATCTTTGTGCGAAGTTAAACTATCGACTAGGTCGTGCGCCTCGCTGTTAAACAGCAATGCCGGTTGATCGGCGATCTCATCGTCAATCAAGTTGCCGCAATCGGAGAGTGATAACGAATGTGAAGCGTGCGTTGGAGTGCCCGGTGAGATGGGACTACCCATCTCCAGTTCAGGTGAAATCTCATCGATGTCCTTCTCTTGCAATTCTTCGTTTATTTTGTGCTTCTTCTGCTTGGTTGCCGCCTCCTCAGATTCTGTGCTGCTCACCAAACTGTCGGTGGGCGAGGTCTCATCATCTAAAAGATAAGTGCTGCCAGCTAAAGCCATTTCGGCAAACTTCGTCTCATTAAGGGTATTGTAAAATGTTTTAGGACGATCAGGTTTATCCATATCTTGATTTTCGGCAATAGTTGTGTTTTCTGCATTACTTCGTAGTACAGCGCGTGTTGTTGTACCAGTTAGGTTGTTCGTCGTTGACACAGGTTCGGGAAACGAAACTGGAAAGTGGTTGGTAGTAATTTAGTATTAAAAAGTGTGAATCAAATATTAATTATTCACATACATAGTGTACTGGCTTGCATTTCAGTTACTATACCGCTTATATCATCGTCGTTTAGATCGACTGACATATGCATAGCTTTCTGCCTCTCATTTTTTTCAGTATTCGTGTCCTTATCTTTTTCTTTGTGGACTTCTTCTTGCAATTTATTGCTATCTTCGCTGCTAATACTGAGGCTGCTGCAATCTTTTACGGCAAGCGCTTCGCCGGCATTGCACCAGGAAAGCATTATGGAGCTGCCTGGTGAGGATGTTTTGCTTGAACAGGTATTAATGTCTTTAAACTGCAAATGCAAAAAATTTATGTTACTAAATTAAGTACACTGCCGTCTGTTTGTTGGCACTTACCCTATTGCCCTTTTCTGATGTTGAGCGATCCAAGTATAGTTTTTCTTCATCTACGCCTTCACTTTCCTCTGAGGAGTTTCGCGTTATGCTACACTGGGCTGGCGCCGTAGTGGGACGGGGTTGTCCTTTATTTAATAGAAATAAAGAATTTAAATGGGTTTTGCAAAATAGTCTCTGAGATACTCGTAATATTAAAATTGTAAATTTCTTGGAAGGATATCGACAAAGAATGGAAACCCTCCCAGAGACCAAAAAGTGCTTACTCTTATGTTGAACATAACGACTGTGGTTACCGGATCTCAAGTGTATATTTTCGCTGTAGTTGGGAATCTACTTACATATTAAATATTTAAATAATGTCTTCGCAGAGTTAATATTAAGTAGTGACTTAAAGCACTGAAAGCCACGACTAAGGTTATGCGAAAATCACATGAGAGCTCCGAAGTGGCACTCACCGTCACAGGAAAGACTCCGGACACGCAATATGATATTATTCCAGATTCGGCTGCTAATTGCGGACCTGCTACTTCGCCAGTTAATTATTAAATGCCTAATTCGTGGCTTTCCACGATCGGTGGCGTTACTATTTTGCTCTCTTGCAGTGTCGACTATTTCAATGTGGTACTAGACAGGAAGCTATGCTGGCAGCCACATAATCAGAAGCGAAAGAATACAGTAAGGCTGCCGCAGTTGCCTTCGCCGTTAGGTTTTTTCGTTTCTCCGGCGTATGCAAAACTCGGCAATATTTGGAAACGTCGACTTCATACCGCAAGTAGCTTATCGCTGGTGATCAAGGCTAGTTTCGATTGGTTCCTGTTCTTCACGCAGAGTTTTAAGGGGGAGTAGAAGCTTCAGAGGTCCAGTATACGGTCGTGGACAGGTCAAAGGTTCTGTTAGAAACTCACTGTTGATCTCAAGCTTATGCTTCGGGCTCTGCGCAGTGTATTTTAAATAGAGGTGGCCGCTATAACGGACAAAGTTGACTGGCTGCGAGCTATTGTAATAACGAGCAGAAGAGTAAATATCTACTCTGACAGCCAAGCGGAAATTAACGGTGTATGATCACTTGGCACAATCGTAACTGGTCGTCCCGATGGATCCATACAGCTAGAAAATTTTTTAAGACACTCTTTCGATGTAAAAGTTAGAAGACCGGCAGCTATATGTTTGAAACAATTTGATTTTAAATATTTTGGCGTATGCTTTTTTACAAATGAATGCAATTTTTAGTTGAGTTCACAAAACGCCAGAAGTTGCAAGTTTTTGCGTTTTCGTACTCGGATCTCTGGTAAATGATGGTACAAATAAGAGGTTAAATCAGGTTCTATCTTTGTGAGAAGCTGCAAGATTGTACCCAAAGAATTTTTGCTGGTCAAATCTGATAAAGTTTTGTACGTGCTTTTTTTTATTGGCATATAATTTAGCTAATCGCCAGTTTTACTAGCTTCCTGCTTAAAAGTTTCGCTCCTAACTGCCGCAACCCCGTTCCGTATGAACATATAAAATTTCTGTTGATAGAGGGAGAGAGAAGCAACGACAACGTCAACGGTTATAAGTTTTCGTTAACACGATGCGATAGGTCGTGTCATCTGACACGGTTTACGTCAGCTTTAAGAGAAGGCGTGAGTGAGTTAGCTACATTGCTAGATGCCGAAACTCTTATCCACTATATAAAGTTTTCAAGACAAAAATACGCGTCTTTCCTGTAGAGTGAACTAGAGACAATGCTTGATGATGGTGACTCTTTCCGAAGGTCAACGTGTCATTGAAAAATAACTAATGGCAGGGGAAAAGCTTTCCGAATTTTAAAAGTCTTAATAAAGTCTCTTAAAAAAATATTAACAAACCATCTTCCTCAGCTCGATAGTTGGAAAATATTCATGACGAATTTGCGAGTCGGGCACAATGCTTTGCTCCCTCGAATTATTTTTTACTTATCTCAAAATGATCACCCTATTTCATGAAGTCGACAGAAAGCGTTTGCGTTAAAATACTCTACAGGACTTTACAGATAGGCTGTAGCGCACTTTAAAGTAACTTTGAAGTAATGTTTTTAATGGCATAGGCATTGGATCTGCCGAGGTTAGACGAGCTTAAAATAGTGATTATGCCATATAGTATCTACGTATTTGGGTGGTTTTCGAAAAATTTTAAGAGTTTATAATTAACTCGCTAATAATTTTCCCCTCAACAAAAGGCTTTTTGAATATTTTTTCAAAAATTTCTAGACACTTTTCACTCACCCACATCGACCTGCTTTGTTTCCTGATTGCCGTTAGCTGCACTCCTCGTGCCGCCAATTCCACCATTTCGCTCATAGCTTTCGCGACTCAGTACAGTATTGGAGCGTACAAGACCACAGAGTGGTAGTGGTACAGTTTGATTCTCACTGGGTAGTTTCGGCAAAGCGAGCGGCTCTACAATCGAACTAGACTCGCTGGACAACGGATCATCCAGATCGCGAACTTCGAATTTGTGACGTCCATTCATGACCATTTGCAAGTTTCGCGGACGACTGCGGCTACGTTTGGGCGAAGCTGTACGACCTTTAATATGGCCAGCGCCGCTCGAAACAGAACTATCCAATGCCATATCCATGCTGGCAATACCTGAATCCGCAGAGATCTCACGACTACCAGAGAAGCCACGGCGCGTATTGTTAGCCATTTGCTTAGCGGTCTTCAGGTCCATCGGATGCCCGCCGGGTGTATGCGTTACACTAGCGGATGCCACTATAGTTAAAGGGTGTTGCGATTGGACTTCTTTGGCGCGTGCTCCCGTCAAAGTGCTAGTCATCGTGGGCGATGGTGTGTAAACGCTACCTGGTGTAGTTGGTGTCGTGGCACCTACACTTATGGCCACTGGAAACTCTGGTTTCGGCAAACTGACTGTGTGGAGTGTAAACTTTGAAAAACTGGCTGGCGGTGCACGCGGTGTGGGGCGAACGCTGCAAGTGAAATATTGAAATTTGAAAGTTAATTGCATATGTATGTACCCAGAGAATTTTAGTGCAATTTGTCAGGCTGCATATATGTATGTATGTACTCACATAACATTTGTGTGCATGCCCGTAGTGATGACGTTTCGCGACTGATGCTGTTGCGGCTGGTACATTGGCTGATGAGTCCAACTGTTGGTTCCGCCACGGCCACTACCATAGCTGCCATATGTGCTGGGCTGTTCGAAGAACTGTCGCCGCTGATATTCGATTGTGCTGTTCTGACTCAAATTGAACGTTATCGATTTGGGTTGTGATATTTTTGGGCGGCCAGCCACATCGGTGGCGCTGCCCGACTCACTAGTCTCATCACCTGAAGTCAATGCCCGGCCAGCATGTGCACTCTTCGAGCGGCGTTTCACTGTAAAAAGTCGACAGCCAAAAATGTGTTAGTGTGTGAAGTAGAGTGTGCGCGAGTAAGTTTTAAATGCAATAGTGCCACAATGCATGGCCTTTATTTCTTTTGCACACTCGATTTTTATTTGGTTGCTTTATATTTGTACTTTTTTGTGACTTTTGAATTGTTTATATTGGCCTTTAGCCTAAATTGAAAGTAACACACTGCACGATTGCGACATTCGCAACACTTGCAGTAGACCTTGCAACACAATCGCAGCACAGCTCAGCAACAGACCTCTAACAACTGATTTACCGGTGCGCTACTCTTGCTATCTACCGCCTGTTCCTCTTGGCCGCCAATTGCTTTTTAATTGAGTTCATGGACTTGTCGCGCCATCACACTTTAGTGAATGGATACATTTTGCTTACCCAGCGCTTGAAAAAGTGAGAGAACGAAAAATTTATCGACTTAGGGCCAATCATAGACAGCGCAAATAAAAACATTTACATAAACAAGTCAAATTAGAAATAGCGAAATTGGATTGCTCTATGACACATCGCTTATGATTTATGCATAGTCAAGAAAGGTAAGACCCGAACTGGAATAAGGATCGTCTGAATAACGTACACATGGGTCTCTCCATTAGAGTGGACTTACTGGAACGATTTTCGAAAACACACGTATTTTCGCACGAGAAATGTGAGATTGCGAATGAATTTTTTTGTAATAGATCCTGTTCGGCATATATGGAATCTTTGTACCAAAGAAAATTACAAAATCGACCGTAATTTTCTAAATTTCGAAATTTCGGACAAAAAAATAAAACTAAATCTTCTCTTTTTCTTCCGTGTCGTCATCATGTCCGCTAGTTGCTGGTTAAAGCTGTATTCCAGCAAAAGTACGGAAACAACATCGCTATCAGAAGTTCCTCTCTTCAATCGTAGTGAGTGGAGGTAATATTTGCTAAATTTTATATGGAAGAAAACCACAACACTTATAAAAAATCAACGGTTATTTTTAGACACTTCAAGCTTGCATATTATTGTATTAAAATGGAGTGGGTTATAGAACTATATATTCAAGAAAATTCTAACGATTCTGAGAATATGTTTAAAATTTGAATGACATTTTTTTATTTTTTTTTTAAGTTTTTTACAAAGTTTTAAACTTTGGTTTGTATGGGTTTTGTTACAGAATGAACTGTATTTCAATTAAGCATTCTTAAAATAATAAATAAACAAGAGTCGCAGCAAAAACACCATTTAAATTGGTGTGCTAATGATATGGCTGATACTGTATTCGTCAGGAACTTAGGGCTATTACTAATTTTTCTAAATTTTTTGGGTGTTAAGCTAAATTTATATCGCTCATTGATCTTCTGTTTTCAGGATCCCCTTTCATTTTACTTTCATTTTTTTTTATTAGATTTAGTTTTTCAATAGATATTTTTAGTTGCAAATTGCAATGGAAAGTCAGCTTTTCGTAAACAGTTTTTTTACGCGAATGAACAACCAAGTAAATACATTTATTATCCGACACTTTTGAATAAATCTAAAATACTTCTTATTTTGAAATTAGAAAAAAGGTATACATCAAAATTTTGCTTTGCTTTTGGAAAATAAATTTTGCATTGGGATGCAATTTTCCCCAGTGTGTCGTCCACATTAAAAAGAGTAGATGTGTCTACCGAAGGTTATGATCGGTAATTAGGCTTGCCAGACCTAAACTTCCGAAAGTGGTACAGATAAGAACCAATTGGGGGACTTGGGGGACAAATAAAACTAAATGCATTCAACAAAAAATTGATTTATTCGCTTATGGAACAGCAAAACCGGTCGAAAAAAAATGCAATATCATTTGAACAAAACAAAGTTATACTGGGTATCAAAACTGAGTGCATGGTGATTTTATTTTAAATATTTACAATGTTTTTCAAGTAAAATGTTTTGTTTTATTTTATAAAAATATTTTTCCTGCCTTAGCCAAAACCATAAAATTGATTTAAACTTTCAAACTTAATACAAACCCTAGAAAAATGCAACAAATTTCCAAAAAAATTTTGGACTTTTTAATCTGAATTCTTGGATATGCAGTTACATGGCTCAAGTTTTACGTGGCTAAAAACTACATAGATATTTGATACTTTTTTGCTGATGGCTTTCTTCCATACAAAGATGATGAAGATGATTTGGAGAAAATTCAAGAGTCCAAATTTTTATGGAAATTTGTTGAATTTTCCTAAAATTTGTATTAAGTTTGCAAGATTGACTAATGTATGCATATGGTTTTGTTTAAAGCACGAAAAGTATTTTTATAAAAAATAACAAAACAATTAACTTGGAAAACATTGTAGATATCTGATAAATACGGCATAAGAACATTTCGCTTGTGAAAGTTGAACAAGACAAACACGCTTTAAGCGAAAAGTGAACGATTTCGGGCAAAAATGGGGGACGTACGTAACCTTCCGTAGCAAGGAGGGACAAAAAGTCAAAAAAGGGGAACTCTACACTAATGTCAAATCATTGAGAAGGAGTTTTCGAGAATTCTCTGCCAAGGAAACAAGGACATAACAGTATCTCCTCGTAACACAAAATGACTCACCCTGTTCTGGGACTCGTATCAAAGTAGGTAACTAAAATCTGAACTTGAGCCCTGCTTACCAAATATCTGCATACATATTAGGGCGGGTTGATTTGTATGGATGAAAATCGTATAGCAAAAACGTAATCTACATTAAATTCTAAGAAAATTCTCTGAAGAAACCATGGGTCTAAAATCAAACCCTAATCCGCGCCTCTCGACTTGAAATTTTTTTTCCTCTTCTTTCGCTAAAATTATTTTCCTTTTTTGAAATATATTATGTTTTATTATATTATATTATAGTTTATGCAATACAGGTTTGGTTTGAGACTAATCAAAATATTCAATTATCAAAAAAGCAGTTGAATCCCAATTTGCATCTCCTCTGATTTGCGTTCTATATAAAAAATAGTTAGAACACGTTTAATGAAAAAAAATTTGAGTGTAGAAAAAATATAAAGTGCAAAAGAACTACCTTACTAAACAATTTTATTCAGAAAATTCGATTTCTTTTTGGAAAAACCTATTTTTTCTAACATTTATTTTTTTGGCAAAGGCGGCCATATAAATTTTCAAGTCGAGAGGCGCGGATTAGGATTTTATTTTAGATACATGGTTTCTTCGGAGAATTTTCTTAGAATTTTATGTAGTTTACGTTTTTGCAATACGATTTAAAAAAAAATCAACCCGCCCTAATACATATACATATAAAAACTAATAAAGCCAACTGGTTAAAAATATTGCAAATAGAAGCTTAAAAATTAAATTGTCGCTATGCGCACTCAATTTCTCTGCCATGTTTCGGCTACTCATGCCACATCTTGTTAACACTGCTTGTTGCAATTTTCTTTTACCCCGCCTGCCATATCATATCTTCATCTAGTTACGTATGTATGTATGTATGTATTTCATGTCACTTCTTAGCATTGCTGCGCCCACTTACAATTGCTCACAAGCGGTTTTTGTTGTCCATTCACGCCCACGCCACCAATTCGATTGATGTTACCATTAATGCCACAATTATTGTTGTTTTCCGCATTTTCCTGCATGTCCATTTGATAGCGCTGCGCTAGACCAGCCGATGCCGGACGCGCAATATTTGAGCCGCGATAACCGAAACGCGACGCTACACCAGGCAGATTCGCTGGCTGGCCGGCGGCACCTGCGTTCGCGGTGCTTTGATTAGATCGTTGTGTAGTTGCGGCTGCCGCACCCATTTTCTCAAAATGTACTTTCGCCAGGAGCTCTTTATTTTTTTCGGTGAATAATTGCGGTGGCCATTGGAGAGAGAAGGCAATAAAAGAAGTCAAAGAGGAGCAAGTTTTTGGCATGTCAGACGGTCATAATAAACCGATGTGAATCAAGTAAATAAATATAATAAAGTAAACAACGTAAAACTCTATCAACGCAAATTTGTTATGTATATGCAAACATACATACATATTTATCTATGTATGTATGTATTTTAATTGTGTTCTTAAATGTGAGCGCATGCTAATTTTCTTTGATTTTTCGGGAAGTGTGTCGGCGATGTGTTTCACAACCAAACACCTGTTGTTCGCCAAATTGACTATTTTTCGCCTGATGTGTTCTGTCTGAACTGTATTGAACTTAAAAGAGTCTACATTCATACGAATAAATTTTTTTAAGTGTGTATATATTTGCACGTAACGTATTATTCATGCATTCCTTGACGCAGCAAAGTCATTGCACTCACCTGCATTGCCATTGTCGTCCTGCTGTTGCTCGTCCTGCAATGTCTCCCCATTGTCTGTGTCATTTGTCACTGCTCCCGTTTTTTCATTATCCTCACCCGAAGTGGTATTGCCATCGCGTGGCGTTGTTGTTATATTGTTGCACTGGTCTTGTTTCCTTTTTGCGTCACTGCCAGTTACACCGCCAACCCCGGCTTCAAGCAACTTCTTGAACTTTTTCGGCGTTGTATTGAGTTTCTTGCGAAAGCCGAAGGACATTGCTGTACCTTTGGTCTCAATAATGCCCACTCCAGCGCCCATATTGCCGGTGGTGTTGCCGCCATGTTTCTTCGAATGCTTTTTACTCTCGGCCTGTCCCTGTAACGAGAAAGCGCATGTGTTGTACATTTTACTTTCAAAGCGGTTTACGTAATGTAAAATATTAATTCAATTAAGTGGATTTCCACCAAGACTTTTATTGCGTGTACCAACAAGCCTATGATCATTGTCAAATCAATACATATTAGGGGTTTTACGTAAATTTTAAGTGATATTAAAAGTTGTTAGTAGCAGTAACTTATTAAATTAGCTTTGCAGAGTAATAAATATTTAGAGAGAAATTACCAAACATTTCAATTCTTTAATTTTCAGGCGAATATTATCTAAAATTTTTTACGAATGTTTCATACCGTTTTTATAACCAGTGATTTTCTCTTTGCTTCTCTAAATCGAATAAATAATGGTATGGAGTTACCTGAAACTTTGAGGAAATCATGGGCACCATTTTCACATCGTAGCAACTACTCTAAAATTCACAGTAAGATTAAAAGATCATTGAGCATTTCTGAAGTGGGGACATTATCAAGCCTAACTGTTGAATGCAGTACAGAAATAACTGTTTCTCAATTCTAAGCGAAGGAACAGCAGCCCAAAAGTTATACAAAAATATAAAGCAGCAAGCATATGGCTGCACATTTGATGCTAGATGTCAAAAATCAGCAGTTTCTTGAGGAATGGAAGAAGCTTTTTTATAGAAGAAATACACTCGGAGGCGACTGCTGTTAGAAGAAACTTTTCTAATTTAGATGCTGATCTAACCAAAGATCGAACCCACCTCTAACCATCCTGCCACGGCGGCCGGTATGGGACGCTTAAAAGCTTAAGAATAATTTGGGTGTGTGTTCATATTATTTACAAATTACATCAAGCAAACTCATCATCATCATTTTTTTGTGGCGACTAATTCCGATTCAGGAAGAAGTTAAAGTTAAAGATAATGTGAATAATATTATATTGTGCATTATATTAATACTAGAGTACATGCGCTGCCTACTGTAGAACACCACGGTAATATTTTTGTGTTACACCTTGAGTGTTTTGCAGTGTTTGCATTTACTACTCCATAGTAGCAATAGCAACAAACCTATTGCTTCGCTTTTGCTACCGCTCTTCATTTGAAGAGAGCAGTGGCAGAGCAGGTAGTACAAAACGCGAAAAGCATTTGTATTGCTCGGCTCCCGACTGGGATTCGTTGTACTACTACGCAGATGAATAGAGTACAAAAACGAACAATGTACTTTTTAGAGTCGTAGCAAATAAAAAAACTGTGATTGCAGTGCGGAGCATAGCAAAGCGAAATTTTTGCTTCTACTATTGCTATGGCTACGGGAGTCGTTGCTATTGCTCTCGCAGCTGCTACAAATGCTAAACTGGTTTTTCGTTTGCTTTCAATATGTTGCATTTTTAGTTCACACATTTATTTAAACTATGAATTTAAATTGTACATATCTATGTATTTCATTCAGTAAAGATAATTCAAAAGAGAACTTTAAATACTACGTAATACATTTTTTACTGTCATTAATCGTCGCGTTCTTCAAATAAGGATGCATTTTCGATGGCATTATCCAGATGGCCCGAATTTAGTTTTACTAGTAGGATGTTTTCTAATGTGTTGTGACTAAGCCGATTTCGGTTGTCAGCTAGGACTAATTTCAGGGAAGAAAACGCCCTTTCTATTGTGACCTTAGAATAAAGAAAAATTATAACATTTTATTGGAAAATTCAAAAATTATTTTTACATACTTGAGTGGGTGGAATCGCAAAGCATACTTTGCTTAGCTCATAGAGCTCTGGATCACTTAACTGCCTCTCTTTCCAGAAGTTTAAAACATTAATATTAGCTTTCATGTAAGGTAGCTTCAATATTTCTATTTTCGTATAAACATCTGCTGCTTCATGTATAGGTGCTATCGCAGAGGATAAATAGTTGTCTAAAATTTCAAAGTAATTTTCTTCCGATTCTACATAAAAATAACTAACTTTTCACATTTTAAAAATAATAATAGCTCTCCATCATTTTTGGGCAGGGCCGCATGCGTTTTCACGTGGAATGATCCATAAAAATCCTATGTACTTGTATATTGCATATCTATGTACATTACGGCGGGTCGATTTGTATGGGAGGTTTTTTCCACTATACGCGTATAGCACAGGAGCATTCTACGTGTAGTTCTAAGCAAATTTGCCGAAGAAACCATGGCAAACCCCCCACGTCAGTAAAACTAAAGTAATTTCCACTAATAAAATTATGCTCCTGTGGCGGCATGTTTTCTTTTTAGTAGATCAATAACGACTGTACAAAAGCATACGAAAAACCAGTTGAGCATTTGTAGCAGATGCGAGAGCAACTCAACGACTCCCGTAGCGATAGCAATAGCAGTAGCAAAAATTTCGATTTGCTATGCTGCAAACCGCTATCACAGCTTTTCATTTGCTACGACTCCAAACAGCACATTGTTCGTTTTTTTGCTCTATTCATCTGCGTAGTAGTACAACCAAACCCAGTCGGGAGCCGAGAAATACAAATACTCTTCGGGTTTTTTGCTACTTGCTCTGGTAATGGTTTCTTTAAATCAAGACCGATAGCAAGAGCAAACATAAAAACTGGCAAATAGCGGAGAATTTTCAAACGCTGGTGTTTTGTATGCTAGAACGGTGCGGTTCCAGGAAAGCCTTCGCCATCAAATTTGTCAACGAGTGAGTACCGCGCTTGGCTTCCACGCGTACGAACTTTTAGAAGTGAAACCTCTTTACCGGCGGTTGTCTGGTTGGGAGTAAATTGGCAAGTTCAACGGAAACTTTCAGAAGTACAGTACTTCTTTTTTCGCTCTTGTACTTCGTACTTTGAAGTACAGTCAAATGTACTTCTTTGCGATATTTTGTACTTCAGGAGGGAGATTCTGCAACCAGTTAGCGACAATTTTTGGATCGCTTCGACGCAAAAACATTTATGTCATGTGTCAAAAAGTGCGAAAGCGATTCGAAAATTGTCCCCCCAGGTCCTGTACTACTCCGATCTTCTGGACGATCGTCACATGGCCTGGGCGATAAATTCGTTCAAACCATTAATGTCGCCGGGGGCCGATGGCATCATACCTGCGCAGCTGCAAAGGACTCTGAAGGTGTCGTGCAATTGGTTGGATCCTATTTATGTGAACGTGGAGGTAGTCAGTCTTGCGGTCATCCCGAAGGCAGAAAAAGGCTCTCCTGTTTCCCCTAGGGATTTGGGCCAATCAGACTCTTCGTTTTTGCTAAAAACGCCAGAGAGACTTATAGACCTGTACATAAGAAACGTGATTCCTCGTAACTGTCTTTCAAGAGCTCAATATGCTCATTGCAAGAAAAAGTCGGTGAATACCGTCCTGCACACATTGGTAAAGTGCCCAGAGGAAGCCTTCACGCATGAAAGTTATGCGGTAGGGACCTTCTTCGATATCGATGGGACCTTCATTAATGTCACTCCAGAGGCAATAGTCAAGTATATTCATAATCTGAGGTTGAAACCAACCTAATAAGCTTACTTCGTGGCAGAAGTCACTCTGCACTCAGTGCAGAGTCAATAGGAGTAGTCCACAAGGTGGTGTTCTCTCTCTGCTCTGGATTGCGGTTGTGGACGACCTTGTAAAGGAACTGAGAAAAGTGGGCTGTCGAGTGATGATGTGGAACTTTTGCTTAAGGGACGATTTCTATACACCCTTTTTAATCTGGCTCAAGGTTACCTGAACCAGGTAACTAGGTGGGCGATGAACGGCAGCTGTCGTAGAAGCCTAATATAGAGGAAAGGGTAGGAAAGGTGGCGGTTTCCTTGTACTGCTGTAGGGGAACTATCGGTAAAATGTGGGGTCTCTCGCCCAAATTAATTCATTAGGTCCAAGAAACCAGATTTAAGCCTATATTGTTTCAAGGAGCCCTTTTCTGGTGGAACTCACTATAGAAGACTACACTTGTAAAACAGGAATTAGCGGAGCATTACGAATCACACCTACACTGACGCTTAACATACATATGTCGAACACGATGCCTGCGGATATTGCAGACAGAAATGTCGCAGCACGAACTGGATATTAGGCTAAGGGAAGCCGGGTCCTTTTGTGACAGAAAAAAGGAAAATAAGAGGTTCCTGTGCTGCAGAAAATGTTTTATAGGGCACTTTAAAACGCGTAACGTCTCAAGGGCTAGTGATGGGGGTTCTGACAGGCTATTGTGCTATTGGTATTCATGCCGTGAGACTAGGAATTTCGACTGATCCTTTTGTATCAGATGTCAAGAAGAAGATGAAGTGGAATCATCTCCACACTTTCTTTTAGACTGTCCAACGTTCGCGAGCCTAAGATGGATGCAAATTTGCTCGCACTTCTGAATAAACACTGAGCTCACAGGGATCGAAATTAGCCGCATTCGAAATTTCGTAATCGGCTCGCGGCGTTAACGTAACCCAACCTAACCTGTACTTCTTTGAGCTATGAAATAGTTGGTCACATTAAGCATGACTTATGATATAAACCCCGGCTGCGTTTAACGACAGCTACGTTTAACGATAATTTGTAATGGAGTACAGCTTAGCTATGTACGTATAACCTTTGTCAACCAAAAATAATTTACTGAATCTACTAGTCTTTCTTCTACTTCTGATTTAAGTACTATTTAAATGAAACATGTGCATTCTAGTTGAAACATTTTAGCCGTTTTTTTTGTCCTATTTAGCCGGGTCGCCAAAAAAGTTCTGGCAACACTTGTAACGAAACACAATAGATTCAAATCACTCGGAAGCATTTTGAAGAGTATTACTGAATCGCGATTTACATACTGTACCTAGATCTTTTCATCACGCATTTGCAAGACCAATTTCTAAAACATCGGGACATTTTGTCTAATTTTACTTGCCTCTTCTTGTTGTGAACTGTTTGAGAAATATATATCCAATTTACATGATTCGAGGCCAGAAATATTGCAAGTGAAGTTTAACTTTGGAGAAAACACATCGCTGGTATAAATATTCAAAGTTCATTTGAAGCTTTGGATGTTTGTAACTCCGATGCTTTTTCAACTGTTGATCAAGTACTTAGAGTCATAGCTGTTTTACCTTATACGACTGCCGTTAAGGAAAGAACGTTTTCAAATTTGCGCTGCCTAAAAACTTATTTGAGATCAACTATGAAAGAAGATCGTCTCAATGTGCTAGCTTCTCTGAATATTCATCGCAATCTGGATGTTAATGTTTACTTAGTATTTGTATCTGTACCTCGGCGAATTGCATTATTGAAAGCAGAATAATTTACTATATAACGCCTCATGAGACTTTTGTTTGAGTTGCGGTGAATTATATCCACAATTAAATAAAACAATGACTTTTAACTGAGATACGATACGATAAAATCCAAATATTATCATTAGCGCAGTATGCGGCAAACAATCACGACTATCGACAGTGCTACCCTATCGGGAGAAAGTGACAATCGATAGATGCCAAAAAACCATCGCCAACTATCGATGGTGTCCATTATCGATAGTTTGCCACTAGGGATGTCGAAAAAACATCGATACATCGAAAATTTCGATTTTTTGCTTCGATACATCGAAAATTTTCCACTCGATGTATAAAAAGTCGACGTATCGAGGCATCTCTCTCTTATAAACCGTTTTCCTGTGATCCATTTACTTTTACTTCTTCGCGCCTTATTTTGGGATTCTGCTTCAATTTTTTCCGGGATTTCGCAGTTCTTATGATTCTAGATTCGCAAAGTCTAGTCTTAACCTTTTTCGACATCTTTTGGTTTTGAAATTGATCTACATAATTCAACGTCTTCAAACTTCCACTTTCCTACTTTTAGTACCAGCGCAGAAGAGGAAAAGTTGTCACTTAACACGTACATACGTCTTTGAAATTTAATTTTAGTTACAAAAAACTTATAACTAGAAGTTAAAAATTGTTTGTTCATTAAAAAATGTAATTTTCTTTTTAAAATTCTTATTTTAGTAAACAAAATTCGGTTATCAAAATATGCCTATGTATTAACTCTAGCTGGCCTGAAAAATCGACATACCTTGAAAGACGGGCGGTTGGCCCAACTATTATAAAATAATTTTTAGTTACAAAAAGCGTAAAATTTTAAATTAAAAACTGTTTATTCCTTTTAAAATAACATTAAATTAAAACTTCCATTTTTATTTCCTTATCTTATTAATAACAAAACTTGCATATTTACGAATAGGGTCAAATGACCCCAAACCCTCTTTTTGGGTAGTAGTACTATTTATTTATATTTCAAAATCAGCAATATTTTAACTTCAGCAAAAAATTGGAATGCGTGCAATTTAAATTTTAAGCATTTACAAAAAAGGCGCAGTATACTAATCTAGAAAAATGACTGGCTAAATAAATATAGTCAGTCGCATATGAAAATGGGTCAAATGACTCCTGTGTGATGCCATACCTCTGCATATTTTTCTTTGGAGTTATGTGAAGTCAAAAGTCTTCGTCGATATGATTCAAAACTTGGAAGTCAACATTATTCGCATAATTCGCGCATTGTTGGAAAAGTTATTGAAAATTGGACCTTCCGAATGGAGCGCCTACAGCGTAGTCGAGGCCGACATTTCATTTCACTTCATTTATTACCAAAATGGTGATATTAGTACAGTAAGAATTGCATTCTTTTTTAGTACAACAAATATAGGTACAAAATACAATAGAGCTTACATTGAATATGAGACAACAGGTAGAACTTACACTAAATATGAGACAACAGAGCAATACCTACAATCCACTGTTAAAAATTTGAACATTAAACATTTAAATGAAATAAATTTCAGATATTGTTTTTTCGGGTAATAATGAATATTTCGACATCCAGTTCTGTTTTAGTGTTCTATTTAAAAAAAAAATAAATAAAAAAAAACAAGGATCAGCCCTTGGAGAAAAATTATATAGGTTTAAACCTTTGACCCACAGTTTTTTGGGCACATGTACATATCGCACACCTAGATCTAAAGTGCGATCAACTCAAAAATTATTTTGGGCGATATACAAGTAATGAAAATAATTTGTTTCCTATACCTGTTTTTTGCACTAATTGCGTTGAATCTGTACGATCCACAAGCAGTAAAATTTCCCTCTATGAATTTTGAGTTAGCTCGTTTTAGATCTAGGGTAAAACGATACCATGGAAGTATCGATACCTGTACTTGTAAATACCATCGAAAGAAAGTATCGGGCTACATATCGGGATACCTACTTATATCGATATGTGTACCTACATGCATACATATATAAAAATTGCTTGTATAAAAAAACGTTATGACATATCTATGAATTCTATCATTTTTGATTTTAGACAAATGGTACTTAATCTTTTTAAGAAAAACGCGTAAGTGTTAGAACATGTTTTATTAGGATGGCCCCCAAAAAACGAATAAAAAAGGTGCAAAATCCAATAAGTTTTTTTTTTATGCCACAGAATTTGCTTATTTTTTATGTATGTGCGTATTTTATTTGTTATACATACAAACATAAATATTTATTTTGTACAAAGAGGAGGCGATTGAAATCAAAAGCAATTATTTTATAATTTATTTCATACAAAATAATGGTCAAAGAAGTAATCATGTTGACAATATGTATTTGGAGGACAAAGTTATAGTGTAGTGTATGCATTCACATCGCCAGTTTAGAGTGAAAAGTTGCTTAGTCCATTTGTAGAAAATTTTCAGGGGAGGAAAAAAACCTTTCAAAATATTTACTTAAGGAATTTTGCAGAAGTTTCCGTTGCGAAATAAAAGACTTATGACCATATTCATAAAATTTAAATTGGATTTATAGAGCTCTATAAAGTGACATTTTCATACAAATTTTCGATTTATAAAGCAGTTAAAGCGTTCTTTATTTTTTTATGAATTTGGGTGCTTGCATTTTCTGCCAACAATTTTTAACTATTTACAATAATAACACTGGTTTACAGCAAAAATGTTCTATGGTTGCCGCTATCCAATTCTCATGTAGAATCGCTCGATCATTCAGAAAATCAAGTTAATTTTTTTTTCTATGAACACGTTTTCGGTATATTTGCAATTACCGTTTGAACCAAATGAACAATCGTAAACCAATGAAATTCTCCATATTCTATACATACATTACTTTTCTATAGGCCTGATAGTTTCTGAGTTAGTGGCGTCTGGAGAACAAAAGCCAAACTAAAATTTGTAACCCAGTGTAATTAGATTAAAAAATAAAATTCCGGGAATAAAATTGACACTGAATCGGGTTTCGATACAAATAATTTCTTCCGATACCTACTAAGTACTCGGTTCAAAAGTATCGATACCCAAATTACTTGGTATCATGGCGATGTCCTAGGAAGCAGTCAATTGCCTTTTCCTGCATATATTTTTAACTACTTTAAAATGCATTTTTCTTAAAAAACTCCATAGTCAATATGTTTCTTTTGTATACGGTTTCGTTCTGCACTTCACAGATGCTTTTTCATACTTTCAAGACACAAATTGTTTCTTTGAGTGGGAAGAGTATCAAAACTCGAAACATTTACTCACAGCATTTTTCTCAAATTAGTCTTTCAATTAGTTGATTTAAAAAAAACAAACACTTGCTTTCGGCAGGGTATTTAGATCTAGGTGTGCGATTTTTGCAAATATGTATATGTAACTTTGTATGTACTCTTTTGCTCAGAAGTTTTATTTTCGCAAACCATTTGCAGTTAGGGTAGTTATACTAGATTTGTGTGTTTAGTGGTGGTAATGCCAGCGTGTGGCATGCATCAATACGTCAATTATCGTAAAAACGATGAATCATAGAAAAACGAAGCATGCAACACGGAACAAAATAGGCGAAATGTTGTGCATGTATGTACGTATGTATGTGCGTATTTAGATATTTTTATATAGTTGCACGCTTGAGTGCAGATGCTTCTTAACAAATGGATACTTATTTATGATTTACAACCGACAGAGAGTGAATTCATGCCAAGCAAACAAATACAAAAAATGCAATAAAGTTTGACACCGCAAATCATATTCCACACATGCATACCACATGCCACACGTTGCTGCGCCTCAAAGCTGGCAAAGGAAAAATTTTCCAACATTTAGCGTCCACAAAGTGACTGTGAAACTCGAATGGGGGAAATATGTGTATACCAGTGTACGGTGCTGCTGCTGAATGGCAAAATTTAGTTGGAAAAGCAGCACAAATTTTTAGTTTGTGTGCGTGTTTGTAGTTATAATTAACTCAAGTCCTTCTTTGAAATTGGATACAATCGAAAGTGCTTTAAATTACTACATATATGATGCTTTCCTGCCTAATCGTATTCTTTACCATTATATCGCCTTCGGTTAATGCCTGCGTCAATTGAATGACTTCAGCGTCGTTATCATTGATTATTTGTTGCTGTTGTTGTAGTATGTCGTCGTTGTCGGCGAGGTCCTCGTATGTCTCGACTGCGTCTTCTAGATTTATGACGAGGTTCTCGCATTCATCCATCTTGAATGCTGGCCTTTCAGTGCGTTAGCCCCCAGGGTAGTGGGTGGGCTGTCGTCTGCTGGCTAGCAGTGCTTTGAGTCGCCGTGTTTGAGTACTTTTCTTAGCTTCACACACGCACACACAATGTTTAATTGAGATTTGCTACAAAATTTTAGTCTTAAGTAGTATGTTCTCGAAAAGCAAAACACTTTATTGTGCAAGTAACTAAAACTTCCAAAACATTTCTGTTGCTTCGCTTTCATATATGTATACTGAACATTTTGCAAATTGTGTACATTGCAAGCGAATACATATTCAATTTTCACTTTGAAAACTGCACCTCACACAATGCTTTAGTGCAGTGTTTCGGCGAAAGTCCTTGAAAATAATTGCTCTCCTTGAGGCTCAACCTTTTCAAGTACTTTTTGACCAACTTTCCACCACTTTTGCGATTACCACAGGATGCACTTTTCTCCTCTATAAATAACTAGCAATTCTCCTATTCAAATTCGTTCACTTTTTTATAAATTTTTATTTTCACAATCTTGCTGCCGTTAATTTCAGCGACACAACGGAAATGTTTATGGCAGCGAAAAGTCTACGAATTTTCCTTTCGTTTCCCATTGCCTGTGGTTTTGTTTGCCTTTTCTGTGGATCTCATGTTGGGCATGGGCATGCGCGTTGCTGGAAAAAATGACATTGCTTGTTTTGGTAAATTTTCGCTTCGGTGTCAACCGATGGTTGTTGCCTTGGCATTTTCCTGCCGCCGTAGTGCCACCTGTCGTCATTTTCCTGACCATGTTATAGGGTGGATTTATTAGCTTGCAAGGTGGTTGAAAGCAGACTATTCGTTATTAAATTTTGGACGGTGTGCTCGGATAAGGTTTAGGACCGTTTTCACTATCTCCGGTTAACACTAATCCCCACCCTGTAGAGAAAACACGAACTAGTGAACCAGACTTCTAGTTCAGTACTAGTTCTTTTTTGCCAAAAACGAACCAGTCCGATAGTAACTAGTTCCGCACCAAACCAAAAGCAGTGAAATGTGGTACTTTCACTAAACTATTCTATTTTAAATTTTAAAAGCAGGGAAGGTAATCTTTATGAGTAAAATAATTTAAATCAGCATTAAATCTTTATTTTATGAATTATTATTGAGTTTTATTTTTTCGCTCAAACGGAAATAATTATTATTTGATTTTTTTTTGGGATTACAAATAATGATTATTTTATGATTTTTATTTTTTCGCGCAGAGATTATCATTAATTTTCAATTTTATTTTTCCACTTGAAAATAATGATAATTTATAAAATTGAAAAGGCCATAAAGACGCAACCTACTGAAATTTTTACCTGAAAAGTTTGGGTCTTATTCCTTTTATAAGGGTGCGGCTACCTCTCAAAAGGATACGTCGGTTATCACGCTGGTATAGTTTTTGAGTTGCTTAATAATCATTATACTTAGTGATTCCATAAACAAAGGCCAAGATCCTGAAGGACAATTGAGAAAGGCAATGCAGTTGCAGAAAAAGAGGCATTTAAAAAAAAGTGCCAAAATAATTACCACTTTCTCACTAAATTTATTTAAAAATGCAAGCCAAGTTTTTTATGCGATCCACCACAGCTACCTTAATACAGTCAGTCAATAAAGTTTAGGTACAACGAATTTTTTACAATACGGGCAACTATTTTTTTAATATTTTAGTTTTCGGTAATTTTTTATAAAAATATGGTCAATTCTACAACAAAATCCCCAAAAATCAGAGTTCCAAACCTTGTGCAAAATTTAAGAAAATTCAGCAAAATTTCATAAAAATAATTCACTTTCTATTTACGCTCTCTAGAAGAAGTTTTTTAGCCCATTCAATTTTAGTATAATGAAGTGAAAGTGTGAGGAAGCTAGGACTTACCAAACAACAAAAAAAAAAAATAATTGCTAAATATCAATGGTAAGTCCTAGCTACCTCAAACTTGCACTTTGTTATACTAAAATTGAATGGGCTAATAACTGAGTGCTTAATTTTTTGCTAAAGAGTGCAAATTGCAATACTTGGATGGAAATTCGCAGTTTTCTTTAATTTTGCATAAGGCTTGGAACTCTGATTTTGGGGGTTTTTGCTGTAGAATTAACCATATTTTTATAAAAAATTTGGGAAAAATAAAATATTTAAAAAATAGCTTCACTCTACCTAAACTTTATTGACTGACGGTATATCTTTTTTAAGCAAAGTACGACAAAAACTTTCGAAGTGCTTCATATACATATAAGCTTAAAAAGAACTGAATTTACTTAAAAATCAATATGCCTAAATTTAGACAAGTAAGACAAAGTGAACTAATATTTTTACTTTTAAGCAGAACGCACTTTTGTTTTTTACTTACTACTTAAGTTTAATACTACTACTACTACTAATGTGGTTTATAAATTTTTAATAAATGCGTTTAAACATTTGTGATTGTATCGTCCTTCCTTTAAACGATCGTATTTAATATAGAAGAGAAATGTTTTGACAAGCCTGATTAGAAGGTGACGAATTTATAACAGGTTGGGAACTATAAAAAATGGATGCAGATCGAATTAGGAACTGGTTTGGAACTAAAGAAAAGGGGATGCAGAACGAACTAGATCTTATCTGTCGAATTTAGAACTGGTTCGGAACTAGAGCCAAAGGGATGCAAAACGAACTAGATCTTATCTGTCGAATTTAGAACTGGTTCGGAACTAGAGCCAAAGGGATGCAACGGGGGACAATTGACACTTCCTTGGACATCGCAATGTTAAATTCGCCAGTCGCTAGCATGCAAAAGAGAATTAACGCGTACTAGTCATGGTTCCAAACCCACTAGAACCGAACCAGTTCCGCACTAGTTCGTTTCCCTACAGGGCAGTTAAACATCTTTACCGAGGTTACTGTTTCCATGTACAATAACATTGTGTCGGTAGGTTGGTATTGAAAATGGGCGAAATCGGACAGTAACCACGCTCACTTCCCATATAACGGTAATTTTCAGAAATACGAAAACTGCGATATTTTAGTAACTACTGAAGATTATTCACCCAAAATTGATATTTACAATAAGTTTTAGACGAAAAGTAAGAGTATTATAAATTTTTGGAAAATGGGCGTAGCCACGCCCACTTATGGTTGCATGTGTATATCTTGGTAACTGCTGCATCAATTTCTTCCAAACTTGCCACAGTTGTTGGCTTTGATACAGCATACCAAATGGCCGAAAATTTTTAAAATCGGACAATAACCACGCCCACATCCCATATCACGGTAATTTAGAGAAATACAAAATCTTCGATAAATCAGTAAACATTAAAGCTAATTTATTCAAAATTGATGCTTGCAACAATTCTTTACCAAGAAATACGTTTATGATAAAATTTTGGAAAATGGGCGTGGCACCGCCCACTTATGATCACATATATGTATCTCGCTAACCGGTCTACCAATTTGTACCAAACACGGCACAGTTATTGAGCTTGTCACATAAAAGCAATGCGTTGAAAATTATTGAAATCGGACTAAAATTGAGGCCGCCTTTCATATAACGGTAAATTTCAGAAATGCTTAAAACTTTAATATTTCGACAAATTTTGGTAATTTGTGTTTTAGTTAGAGTAGCTTTTTTAACTCTTTTAGAACGGAATGTATTAGGTTATATTCAAATTCGGAAAGGGCCTGATAAAGATGGGTTAATAGGAATTCCTCAACCTATATGTTATGCAATTAAGTTATTTACTAAAGAACAAACTTATCCTCTTTTATCAAATTATATATCTTATTAGTTTTTCTTTATTTATTTCTTTAATTGTTTGAATGTGTATTCCTTTATTTGTTAAATTACTTTCTTTTAATTTAGGATTATTATCTTTTTTTTTGTGTTCTACTAGTTTAGGTATTTATACAGTTATAATTGCTGGTTGGTCTTCTAATTCTAATTATGCTCTATTAGGGGGATTGCGTGCTGTTGCTCAAACTATTTCTTATGAAGATAGAATAGCTTTAATTTTATTATCTTTTGTTTTTTTTTAATTGGAAGTTATAATATATTCGATTTTTATTATTTTCAATATTATATTTGATTTGTTGTTGTTTTATTGCCTATTAGTTTGGTTTGATTTTGTATTTGTTTAGCTGAAACTAATCGTACTCCTTTTGATTTTGCTGAAGGTGAATCTGAATTAGTTTCTGGGGTTTAATGTTGAATATAGATGAATATATATAAGATTATCTTTCAAAAAGAAAAAAAGTTAATCAAATCGGTTAAGGCTCTGGACTATTTTGGACAGTAAATTCCAGTTTTGGACCACTGTGCGGCGCACTATGGAGGATTGGGGGAAAAGTTTTGGACAAAAAGGAAAATTTGTTGATCCAAAACAGATAGCGAAATGACTCGAATGCCATTTTGTAGCTGTTCTAATGCAGAGTTTGAGAAATATACAGACATAAATACCTTGACCTTTTGACCTTCAAATTCAAGGTAAAAGGTAGATCTCATGACATTTCACTCCGGAGTTTTATCGGAGTGAAGGTTCGGGTTCGTATGTCGTCAGAGGCAATATATAATTTGTAATTATTTTTTTTTTGGTGTTTCTTAATTACGAAGAATCATCTGTGAAGTGAAGAATAAAATCAAACGACGAAGAAAATTTATTCAAGTTGAACATTTGAGGGCAAGTTTACAGAACAGCAGTAGCTGAGTGTGCAGAGATGCTTGCTGTTATTTGGAAACTTTTAGAATATCCAGACATTTTTGTTTTGTATCTCCGAACTATAAAAAAGCAACTGTGAAATGCAGAGCATTGATTTTTAGTAGTACTCGCTTGAGTTAATATTTTGTGTGACGTATGTCCATTCATAATTTGAGATAGCATAAGCAAAGCAAAGAGTATATAATCAAATTGAATGTAATAATAATAAGCTTACAGCATACATCTAAAAAACAATGCGCATGCAATATTGCCACCGGATCTAAACTTTTGCTCACCGAAGCCAAAAGCATTTCACAGTAATAAAAGGTAATCTTAGTGGCGAATTCAAACAAACTGTGAACGCAAAAAAAATACCAAGGTATGCAAGCAAAGTAAGAAATTGCAAGAATTTTATAACAAAAAGTTCTCGACTAATACAAGTTATGCATATTAAAACTACGCGCATTGTCACTCACCTCTGTAACATCATGGCATACCACCGCAAAGTGATTGCTGTCGTTTAACCTTTCACCATCCCCGCTGTCTGCAGCAACTTCAGTCGCATTTTCGACACCAATATTGACTTTCCACTCTGCAGCGTTTATTAATTGCGCAGGCTGCTGCTTTAGGTGAAGCTCTTCGCACTTCTCCACCGTTATTTTGGCATTATTATTTGTGTCAGTGGCAGTCTTGTCGCCATCATTCTGCTCCTCTGGTTGCAACTGAATATGAGCCAAACAATGTTGTTGATTTTTATGAGCATCAACGGTAGTTATATGAGTGTTGTCAACTAGAATAACCTCAGTAGCCACATTATAGAGGTGGCGTCTCTCAAATAGTTGCTCGTTCTCAACGCTCTCCTCATCTCCTTCAGCGTCGTTGTCATAGTCGCCATCGCCGTCGCCGTCGTCATCGTCGTCGCCGTCGTCATCGTCGTCTGTGGTGCTAACAATGGTACAATAATCGCAGTGACTTACATTGGCATACATTACCGTGCCCGTCCTTACGTCATCAACAACATTAGTAATTTCAACTGAAGTAACACAATCTTGCCGCAACTTTTCTGCCTCACTTTCTATGGCACTGCAATTCGCTACTGTGCTACTTGTAATATTTGTTGTTGCCACAATGTTTGCTGTCCATTGGTTTGATTTGTTTTCATTGCTTTGTTGCGTTGTTGTTGATTGTTTTTCCACAGTTTTCGATCGTTTTTTGTTTTGACTCTTCTGATGGCTCTGATTCGCCTCTGGATTCTGACTTTCATTTGAATGTTGATTTTGCTTAGCCGACTGTGTGGCGCCGACAACTGTAGCCTTCGCATCATTATCCTCATCCGTTGACTTTGACGACTGTGGTGTGACTCCTTTTGACTTGGCCTGCGCCTTCTTCTTCGACTTTGCTTTCGGCTTTTTCTTCTTGCCGCTCGCATAGTAATATTCACATAATTGATTTCCATGCTCGTCCTTGAGCGCGATGTATTCGGTGCTTTCAGCAAATTTACTCCAAATTTGATTTGCTGCGGCCAAGTCCGTTTCGGATAATGCGATTGTTAGTACAGAGGGATGCTTTGACACACACTTGCCCATAGGTGCTGGCGTTGGTCACTCGTCAATATGGCAAAACAACTTTGCAGTGAATGTGGGTGTAAATGTGTTTATGTAGAAGCGCGTGTACGTTGATAAGTATATGCCGCATAAGGCTTGATATTTTTGTTGTTAAAACTGCTGCTATTGCATGTGTATGGATTGTGTATATACTTGTTTACTGGTCTGTATATTCACTTTTACCAGACAAATTTCTGGATTTATGTTATTTGCTATCTATCAGCTTTGCAAATAAATAACTGTTGGCTTTCTATATAACTCAGTTTCCTTTATATCAAAGATATTGGACTACTTTTGTTTGTCTATTGCCGCCGCTGCTTTATAACTTTTATGTGCAATCTTCATTGTCAGGTAACTCAATTGGCTCTTGGCAAAATGTTCAACATTTTTATTGGCGTCGTAGTTATGGCACAGTTTTGTATCAGATATTCTGACAGGTATATGATTTTGGCAACCAAAAATATTTTTAAATTCAGATTGTACTTGCGAATGTAGAATAAAAGTTGTTTGAAGATTTTTTTCCGAAAAGGTTGATTGGCACATAAATATCCTTTTTAAATTTTAAATTGGTCCACAAAACTGAAATTGAAAAAATAATTGGTGTTGTGGTTAAAAAATCATTGGTACTAAGAATAAAATCATTCACATATGTATGTTTATTTGTATTAAAATAATAAATACTAGATTCCGCTCGCTGCGGCCTTTAGTTCGCGTTGCGCCCTTTAGTATTTATGAAAGTATATATATAGGTTTGGTTAGGTTACGGTGGCAGACCCGCAAAGGGGACTCACTTAGACATTTGGTTGTCCATTGTGATACCACATTATATAAGGGAGAAATTCGTTTGAACGGTAACTGCGTAAAAATTACAAGAAGCGCTGGGTGCTCATAATAAAGTTCTTCAAACAGCTGATGTCTACGCCGGAGAGTCCCTCGGGAGAGTCGATGAAATGCGCACCGAGATGCTTGAACCGTAATCTAGCGAATGCCGGGCAGTTGAGTAGGAAGTGATGAGATGATTCCACCTCGTCTTCCAGGCAACTGCGGCAGTAGGGATCCGTGACGATATTGAGTCGCACCGCGTTTGTTCCCGTTGGACAGTGTCCGGTCAGTACGCCTGTGAAAATCGAGAGCGTACGCTTAGCCAGCTGCAGTAGCTCCCTTGACCGCCTGCGGTCCACAACCGGCCAGAAGGACCTTGCAACTTTGCAAGTCGGGGTTTTTTCCCAGCGCTCGCTGAGCCGACCGTAAGCCCATCTGTCCAAAAGCAAGCCGCAGGTTGCCAACGGAACTCCAAGGTCCTCCCTGCCCGAGGTGATGGCCTCAAGGGTGCCCTGCCTGGCCAGTTCATCAGCCCTGCAGTTTCCCGCGATATCACTGTGCCCCGGGACCCAGATCAGTTTGATCTGGAAGTATTCCGAGGCAGTTGAGAGAGAAGCCAGGCATTCCCCAACCAGTTTTGAACACACCATTAGCGATCCCAGTGCCCTGATTTCCGCTTGGCTATCAGTGTATATATTTACCCTCCTTGTTGACAGTACATTGATGCATAGCCAATCGGCTGCCTCTTTTATAGCGGCCACCTCTGCCTGAAAGACGCTGCAGAGATCCGGCAGTCTGAAAGTAAGATCTACTGAGAGTTCCTGACAGTAGACACCTCCTCCAACTCTCTCTTCCAGCTTCGATCCGTCCGTAAAGATGTTTATTGGACCTCTTTTCCAGAGACTACCCTTCTTCCATTCATCCCTTGAGGGGATGTGCGTGGAGAAGTATCCTTTAGGGGCCAGCCTCCGGTGACTCCGGTCCATTTCTTTCGGCACGAAGTCGAAGCTTTCGGGAATCGTCGAGTGCCCGTGCGCTGGATTGAAAGAGAACGCAGAACTTTTGAGCCTAATGGCTGAGCGAACCGCCGCTACTTTGTCCGAAATGTCGACAGGTGCGACATTGAGCATAGCATTCAGCGATAAGGTTGAAGTGATTCGGAGCGCCCCGCTGATCCCAACGAGGGCTGCCCTTTGCACGCGCTCTAGCTTTTTGACATGAGTGGTCTTTTCCAGTGAACTCCACCAGACGATGACCCCATACAACATTATTGGTTTAATTATGGTTTCATATAGCCAGTGCATAACTTTTGGGGAAAGGCCCCATCTCTTCCCTAAGGCATTCTTGCTGCAGTAGAGGGCCACCGATGCCTTCCTCACTCGTTCCTCGATATAAGGTTTCCATGACAACTTCCCGTCCAGGATCACGCCCAAGAATTTTACCCTGTCAGAGAGGACAAGTGGAACACCCCCTATCGAGGGGAGCTGGGCCTGAGGCTTTTTGTACCTCCTGGTAAAAAGAATGAGCTCCGTCTTTCCAGGATTGACAGCAAGCCCGCAGCTAGCGGACCAATTTGTGACCCTGTTTAGGTACCCTAGCATAAGATCGTACAGAGTGTTCAAGAACTTTCCTCTGACGATGAGTGCCACGTCATCCGCGTAGGCAATAACCCGGCATCCAGTCCTTTCCAATTCCTCCAGGACGTCGTTTATCACGACTATCCAGAGGAAGGGTGAAAGGACGCCTCCCTGCGGATTGCCTCTGCTAACTTTACGCTGCTCAGAGGCGTTGCCCCATTCCGCTGTGACAGTTCTGTAGTGCAGCATGTGTGAGATGAGCCTTACTAGGTAGCTCTCGACTCCGAGCTTAGTAAGGGCTCTTATTATCGCCCCGGGAAGGACATTATTGAAAGCCCCCTCGATATCAAGGAAGGTACCCACTACAAAATCATTGTTTTTAAGAGACTCCTCTATAATTTTGACGATTGAGTGCAGGGCATATTCCACGGATCTACCTTTCAGGTAGGCGTACTGAGAGGGGCTAAAACGCTATCGAGGAATCCTGTTTCTTATGTGCAGGTCAATGAGTCTCTCAAAAGTCTTCAATAAGAAAGATGAGAAACTATATAGAATAATTTGTTTAGATTACTGAACTACAGTGCAATGAAGTACTCTCCCTTTGTTAGAAAAACGTAAATATAGAATATGGAAATTGGATCGCTATAATGTCTACAACCCGCAAATTATATGGGCCCAATCAATAGAGTGATGAATTTTGGTTTAATTTTTTTTTCTGCTTCCCCTCTGAGATAAACAATGTTTATAATAAAAAAAATTACGTATATAGGTTTAAATAATTTATTTTCTCCCAATTTTTGGTGTGATTTTTCCATTATTCGAAAAATTATCTACCATATGTACGCAAAAAAAGCTTAAAATCGAAAAATTAAGAAAATCGAAAATCAAATACTTATATTTGCAAAGTGCGCGATAAGATGAAATTGCATGGATATAAAAAAAACGAAAATTGAAGAATTTAAAAGGATACAAATTCTAAGTGCACATGGCCGCATGGGTTACGAAAATGCGCTTCTTCCTGGCATGTCTTTGAAAATTGTTAGGACTAATATATACACGACCATATCATCAAATTTCTTTATTCTAACTTACAAAATATAAAAAAAAAAAAATTAAAAGGGAATTTTGAGTACCTGTTCGTCCTTGTGAACCATTTTTTTTTTGTTTTTGGTACCCATGTTGTGATTCTACATTGCACTGATTTTTTTTTTTTAATATTTTTAAGAGTCAATAATATCCTCGAAATTTCAAAATCCCTAAAGAAAACTAAAAAAGTAGTATACTACATGTACGTATTTGGTCCCTTGTTTCACGATTGATTGATTCATGTGTTTTGCAACTTTATAGTTTTTGTCGCAAGGTATTGTGTTCTATAATGAGAGGCGAGATATAAATTAATTAATTTCCTTTTTACCCATTTGACAAATTTTTTTAATTAGCTTAAAGTAAAGTGAAACTCGCTTCTTAACCTTGCAAATCACGAGACGGAGCTTGGAATTCAAAAAATAATGTATTACTAATGTAAAACACTATTGATTAGCTTTCGAAAAAGTTTCGCAATAACCCAGAGTTTACATAATTCAGAATCTTTAGTTTTAACATTGCAGACCTAAAGCAAGTAGTATGTGTGTAGTATAATATGTAGTACTTATGTACATAGATATGAACCTGAATTTTCTATAGGTACGAAATTATATTTGTATATGGGTCATTCCACGTCAAAACGAGAAAAAGTAAAAATCGTACATGCGCACGTGGCGTATGAGTTACTGAGTCGAGATGAGAATGTTGCTCATACGCCATGTAGGTATGATCGTTCGATTTTAACTTTTGCGTCATAAATGGTAGATCGAATATGGAAACGCCATTTTGAGCATTTGAAATCTGATTACAGATTCTTAATTACCTACCTAAAGATCCCTCGATTGTAAAGTTGTAAGTGAATCTAACTGATTTTAACTTTTTTTGCCGCCATATCGGATCCGCCATTTGTTAATTTTTCCTATGTAAAAGCATAAACAGACGGCAGCGTTGATTTGGATCAACTCGCGAATTAACTGCAGTTAATCCGGATTAAGTCCGAGTTAGTCCGGATCAACGCTGCCGTCTGTTTAAGCTTTAACTTCAGATTCGGATTTAGTGACCCCAAAAACATATCTCCATATATCATCTTAAGTTAAGGTTTTCGTCGCTTATCTGAATTTTCATAAACGATTCATAGGAAATTATTCTGGAAACTGGTTGGTAAATGGTGATCCAGTTCCAAAAATTTCTTTTTTTTTATAAGCGCCAAATAACTTTCGATTCTACATAAAAAAAAAAACTTTTCCCCTTTTAAAAATAGCTATAGGTCTCCACCATTTTTGGGCAGAACCGCATGCGTTTTGACGTGGAATGACCCATATGTGTAATGTACATATATAATATGACCGCACGAGTTTACTCAAATTTGTGTAAGCATTATTAATCGGATCAATGTTATAATTAACCTTGTTGCCGTTATACATTTGTATGTATGCATGCAGTTCATACGAATTCAATAAATAAGAATATCAATGCGGCGTATAGTCATCTGTTGTGTAGATATCCGGCCTCAAGAAACCAATGTGTCAGGAAGTTTAGTAATAGTAGATATATTGTACCCACGATCTGACGTATTCACGTAGACATCAACCATAAACGAAGAAAAGAGAAGTTTCGTCGGTAACTGTAGAAGATGGTTGAACTATTTTGTTTGACTAAAATTTACACACAACTTAATCCTATGAAGCGTGCAGCCTACATATTCAGCAATGGATTGTAAATATAGGCACTTCTGGTCAGCTGATGAAGTTAAGTGACATTTTGACCACTTTTGGCTATTTTTCTTGAACTTTCATACAGGAACTGCCTATAGTTTGACACATCTATCACATTTGTATCGGATTTGCTTTGCCTTTTCCTGAAAGTCCTTTCTGGCCTGTTATTGAAAAATAATAACAGATTTTTTTAATCTCTTGGTAGTCTGTAACGCTAAGAGGAAACACCGCTTACTTGGTAATTTCTCTTATATATGTATATAAATATATACTTGTTCAGTGGTGCTAGCTATAGT